ATCTACCATCTTAACCATTTTTAAGCATACGGTTCTGTAGCGTTAAGTATATTCACATTTTTGTGCAACCTTTGCCACCATCCATCTCCAGAATTCTTCTCATTTTGCAAAACAAACTCTGTACCCATTAAACAGTAATGCCCCATTCCTCTCTCTGCATTCTACTTCCTATCTCTATGAATTTGACTACTGGTACCTTGTATAAGAGGAATCATGTAGTATGTGTCCTTTTGTGACTGACTTATTTTGCTTAACATAATGCCCTCAGGATTCATCCATGTTGTAGCATGTGTCAGAATTTCCTTCTTTCCTTTCTGAGGCTGAATAACATTCCATCGTATGTGTACACCACGTTTTTAATCCATTCATCAGTCAGTGAACATGTGGGTTGCTTGGCAATTTTGAAAAATGCTGCTCTGACTATGGGTGTACAAATATCTCTTCAAGCCCTTACTTGTATATATATATTTTTTATAGGAATGCAGATGTTGGTCCTCAAGAGAGAAGTAATTTGTCTCTTTTTTTTTTGAAATTTATTTTAGTTTTGGCTGCGTTGGGTCCTTGCTGCTGTGCGCAGGCTTTCTCTAGTTGCGGCTAGCAGGGGCTACTCTTCCTTGTGGTGCGTGGGCTTTTCATCGCTGTGTCTTCTCTTGTTGCGGAGTATGGGGTCTAGGCATGAGGGCTTCAGTAGTTGTGGCTCAGCTTTAGAGCGCAGGCTCAGTAGTTGTGGCGCACGGGCTCAGTTGCTCCGCAGCATGTGGGATCTTCTCAGACCAGGGCTCAAACCTGTGTCGCCCACATTGGCAGACGGATTCTTAACCACTGCGCCACCAGGGAAGCCCCCTATTTTTATATTTAAAATATTTTGCACCATGGAAATTGCATTAGGACTCAACTGCGGTATAACAAGCCACCCCAAAACTGGATGACTTATAACAACAGCGATTTATTAATTCCCCTGGTTCTGTGGGTTGGCTGGGTTGTCCTTCTGCTTGTTTACCTGGCCTCAGTCATGTGGTGGAATTCGACTGGGAGATCTGGTGGGCACAAAGGTCCAAATGGGCTTCATTCATATGTCTGGCAGTTGGTCTTGGCTCTTGCCTGGTTTTCTTCCACGTGACCTCTTTTCCTCTAGTAGGTTAAATCAGTTTCCTTAATGGCAGACTCAGAGAAGTGTTCAAGAGGGGAATTCACAGGGGTCTGTGACCTTGAATAGGAAAAAAAAAAAACTACATCTGTTTTTACTAACTGCTAACTAAAATTTAGAATTGGCTTCAGTTATGAATATAGGCAACAAAGCACAAAAGTATTGGGAGTAACTGTGATCTTGTCACCAAATGAAATCACAAATAGTTTTTCAATATTGTTTATGTTCATCACCACTATGAAACTTGAAATTAGACTCACTGCTAAATCTTATTATTTAACGCTTAAAGAAGCACATATATGCCATGGCACAAAAATGATTAAGGAACTCCTGTCTGAAAGGGAAGGGCATCTTGCCCCTTCCCCTTTCACTCTTGCTGCTGGCTGGCATGTGGAACTAGCAATGGGCCATCTTAGACACGCAGGTGAGAATTACACCTCTTCAGATGATAGAACAGCCAGATTGGAAGAGCCTATGTCTCTGGGACCCTGGAATCTCCATGCAACCTCGGATTGCTTACACCCAAATTGCTACTTCAAAGAAGAATAATGTCTACTTTGTTTACAGCAGTGTTATTTTGTGTCTTTATTTGAGCAGCTGAAACTATTTCCTTATTAATACAACAGCAGTTATCATATTTTGTAATTATATATTGATTTGTGATTATTTTTGTTTGTTTAAATGTCTTTACCAGTAAAGAATAAGTTCTTTGAGGACATGGTAGGTATTTGTTCACTCTGGAATCCTAGCAACTGGTACAGTGTAGGCACAGAGTAGATTCTTAATAAATGTTTCAAAATGAATGAAATAATAGCATAAGAAAATGTGTATGAGCATATTAGGCTAATCAAATAACATTGTACAGGCAGTATGTAAAAACAAGCAAAAAGCCTCTGCATAGAAAAAAGGTTGGAAGAAAATACAAAATGTGAATAGTAACTGTTTGAATTATAGGTTTTAGCATGATGTTTTCCTGCTTTTGCCTATATTTTCCAAATTTCCTTTAATGAGATTTAAGAAAAAGAAAACATATATATAATAAAAAACATATAACAAAACAAAATGGACCGAGGAGAAGTTAGCTGATCCCTGAGGGCCATGGAGAAGTTGGAGGAGGTGTGTGGAGTATTCTTGTCTGGGGAGATTTAACCAGCTGTGGTCTGGTGCAGACCTCTCAGACCCTTTAGATACTCAAGGTGTCATATAAAAGCCAACAGGCCAGCTTGACTCTTAACATAAAGAATGAAACTCACTTCTTAACAGAGGCCATGGAAAAAGTAAGAGGTGGAGCAATATTCTGGAACAATAATGCATAGCTCTTTACAACGTAGTAACAACCATAGGACAATCTTTATTGGGCTAAAGCTTGGAAATAAATTTTATTATATTTCATTCACAATTACACAGATGAATCAGTTATAGTCACCATGAAGAGAGTCATAAACTCAAAGATGACAGAGTAAGCAACTGCCACAGCTAAAAGCCAAGTTAACAAATTGTGCTTCTGTGGGCATTAATTTCTTAATGTTAATTTTTTGTTAAGCACTGAGCTTCTGCCTTGATTATAACCTTGATTGAAGAAAAGTGTACGCATATTTCAAATACACTGATTTTAATACCAAGAAATTACACTAAGGACATATTTTCATGTATTCATAATTCTAAAAAAAATTAACTTCAAGATTGGCAAATAATAGATGCTTAATAAGTGTTAATTGGTGACAGTGTGTTATCCACAGAATAATTTTAAAGGTTCTTAATTTTTCCTCTATTGACATTAATTGAAATTCTGCCTTCAAGTTTAAATATCTAAAGGCTCATAACATCTTTAGTATGCATTTATGATTATGTGAATTATTAGAAACGGCTATATTTTTTGATATAGATTGACTGGCCTGGAGACAAGAAAACAAATGAAAGAGGTCCATCAGAAAGATGTGAAATTGGGTACGGGAAATAAAACAAGAGAAGTTAATAATAGCCAATGATAACTGTTAAGAAATAATTTTTAACAAGACTGTATAGTCATGATCTCATACAGATATAAAGTCCACACATGTTAAAAATTTCATTTAACTCATTAATTAGTGGGGGAACCAGTAAGATTTTGCAACCAATTCAAAGAAGTATTTTAAAAAAATGTATTCAAACTACTAGACATCTATAGGCAGTCAGGAATGCTTAAGTAAATCTGCTTAATAGATATGAAACTGGCAAAAACAGATAATATCCATAGAACAATAACCAACTGAATCTCCTATGGATATAATTTGCATAAGTTATGGACAAGAATTATTTGCATTATTGTCAATATTCTGCAACTTACAGAATTGTAAAATAGTTCAAAGACAATGAAAGGCACAAAAACCCCATAAAATCAGATAAACTGGAGAATGTCTAACTTTCCCTTAAGACACCCAACAATCCTTTTGGTCCCTTTAAACAGCCTTTCTTCACGGTTTCCCTACACAGATGACTTGAGTGCTATTTATGGGCCAGGCATTGCCCTAGATGCCTTGAAGATATTAACTCATTTAATTCTCACAAGAACTTTATGAGGCAGGTTCTATTACTATTACCATTTCACAGGGGAGGGATCTAAAGCACAAGAAAAGGTAAGTCTGTCACCCAAGGTCACAGTGATAGTAGGAGGTAGAACCAGGATCTGAATCCAGGTGGTTTTGCACAAGTTATGCTGCCATGGATGTGAGTATATGAAGATAAAAGAATTGACAGGACCTGACAAGTTAGATAACATTAGATATAGAAGCAGGAAGAGGTAATGGTGACTCCAAAGTGTTTCCCCTGGTTGTGAGAAGGGGGACGCTGTCCAGATAAAAAGACTAAGAAGAGGAGTCAGTTTAACTTGGTTTTTAGACATATACTTTGAAGTAATGGCAAGATGTGGAGATGGAAAAGTCCAGCTAGGCAGGAGACCAGAACTAGAGATGTAGATGTGATTTTTTTAAATTGAGCAGGTTTATTAGACTTTGGTATCAGAAACACTAGTGTGTGTCTGTCAGAACTAAAGGACAGAAGCCCAGAGAGAAAAGAGAATATTATGCAGGAGGACTAAGGTCCTGCATAGGCTGAAGAGAGCCAGTGTCAGGGAGTAAAACCAAAGCAGGGTGAATTGACTGGAGTTCTTAGGTCCAGACAACAGAGTACTCTCCCATGGGTTTAAGGAGAAACATTAAAATGGAGTCACAAATGCAGAGAGCTAGGGTTGAGGCTGAAAGGTAAAAAGAGGCTACTATCGTGGAGGAGCTTTATCCAACACGCCGTAAAACTGGTCAAGCAGGGAGGGGTCATGATCAGAGGCACCCTTTAGAAAGAACAAGTGTGGCTGCAGCGCGAAAAATCTGGTCAAATCTGGAGGCAGGAGGTGTTACTGGGAAACAGATGTAGGCAGCTGCTGGCTTGGACCAAGTCAGGTCGTGGCAACTAGACCCAACGATAATATTTGAGGGGCCTGATGGTAAGAGTGCCAAAAGAGGCTCATATACCATGTGAATAAGGGTTTAAAAGTTATAAATCAAGGTAGTAAACTGTCAAATTATTCTCTTTCCTACTGCCTCGATGAATATCAATACATCTTCAGAAGAACCTGGAAGGAAGGGGGAGAGCCCGGGCGAGATCCGTCGAATTTAGGCGGGGCTTTCCTGGAACCTATAAGGCCGAGGAGCGCGGCGGCGGCGGCGCAGACGCAGGGGACCACAGCGACACCTGTCTCATCTCCGACGGGCGCCCAGCTGTCTCCTCCCCGCGGCTAAGAGGTGCGCAGACAGAGCTGCCGGGGGCGTGGCGTGGCGTGGCGAGGAGAGGCGTGTCCGGGCGCTAACAGCGCGAGGTCGAAGGGCACGGCGGCGTCCCTGTCATGGCGGCCTCCACGCTGGTGTCGGTGTGGGGCCCGCTACGGCCCGGCGTCCCCGGCCTGTGCCGCTGCCGGCAGCCCAGGGGCCTGTGGGCGCACGCATGGCGGCTCCCGGAGCCCGCGGGGTCCGGGCGGAGCGTGGCCGCGGTCAGCGGACCTGGCGCCTCGGGCACTGACCGCTACTGCTTGGAGCTGCTGCGGTGAGCGAGCCGGAGTGCCCCCGGCCGGGAGGTCGGGGAGCAGGCCGAAAGGGACCCTGGTGGGCGCGGCGGGCCTCGGGTAGGACCTGCACCTTCCCTGTGTCCCTCAGCGTGTGAGCTCGGGTGGATGGGGGAGTGAGGCAACAGGAGCTTTCACACTGGTCACGAATTTGTGGCAAAATGCCTTCGTCTGTCACCTTGCCCGAGCCTTAACTCTACCTAATTAAACGCTTTGCATGAATAGCTTTTTAAAATTCGAAAGATGGCTAGTAACTAATTTCGATTAAGCAGTAGTTAACTTTGAGTTCTTCCTATGTGTCAGGCACTATGCAAAGTAGTTTACAAGTAAATTATCTAATTTTCGTTACAAAGTGTGAGGGAACACCTACCATTTACAGTTATGTGGATTAGAGCATTTAGAACAATGCCTGGCACAAAGCAGGGGTACAGTGAGTACGATATAAACTTTATTATCTCATCTAGCAGACATGGAAATGAAGGTTTAGAGAGATTATGGAATTTACCTGAGTTCAGTGGAATCTAAGCCTCATAAAGTCAGTTATTCTGGTAACACGCGAAAGGTATAGCACATAGCAGTCGCTGTTAATCATTTACGGGATAAATTGGATGAATCAGGTTACCTGGTACATGTGGGCAGGGGCCTGCCTTGGAATCCAGGCCTGACTTCAGGAGTGAATGGCTTACCACCACCACCCCCGGTCCCGCCCCCGCTGCCCTTTTGCTGCCCTTAATTCGTAACAGTGGCAAAAAGTCTCAAAGTACCTGGTCTCAAGGACTTCTGAGAAGTGCTAGAATAGTTAAACTATCTTGAATTTGATTGGGCTAGTATATCCAATTTTTTTGAATTCCATTGTAGCAAAATGTAGCATAACGACAACATTCCCATGCATTTCAGTATTTTGTTTTGTTTTTAATCACTTTTTAAAATAGTGTTCCTACCCCACCTTATTTACTTGTTGATTGCTTGTAGGAGAAACAAGGTAGCATTAGTGGAAATCAGGTCATTAAGAATTGTAATAGCCAAAAAGATTATATTCATCTATATAATTTTTAAGTTATCATTTTTTGATGATAAGACATTTAAGTTACCAAAATGTATACCATCCATATCCACTCGTTCAGTGCAATTTTTCTTTGACACCAGTAGTATCCTAACTTTCCTATCCAGGGTTGAATCACTCTTACTAATTTCTTATATATTCTTTTAGAAATTGTCTGTGGATATCACATAACAGCTTTTCTCAAATATATATTTATAAATGGCCAGATACTTAATCTGTCCATATTGGTATTTAAGTGGAATGGAGGCTGTTGACTCTAGCGATTTATCGAAAAGCAGGCAGCAGGCAGACCTTATCTGAGTTTATTAATCCTAGCTCTGTCACTTGGGAAAGTTAATTACTTTAAGAGTCAGCTATTTCCTCATATGTAGATTTCTACTTCTACTTTATAACATGGTTGTGAGGATTAAGTTACATGATGTATATAAAAATGCTGGTACATAACAAATGCTCAATAAATAGTTTAAAATAAAAACAAAATGAACTTGAAAGGAAGATTAGAACTTTTAGCTTCTAATTGTCCATTAATCTTTGCAAGATTTGGCCTCCGAAATTGTGTGTGCAGGGTTGTTTTGGACATGTATCTTATGCAAGGCCTCCAAATATCAGACAAGATACTAGACTATAACTTCAGATTAGCCAGCCGAGGATCTTCTAGGAATCAAGGTTCCTGGGAAAATCTCAAGCCTAATTTACATAGGCTTCTCGGGGTTTGGTTTGAGGAACACCACCTCAGGCCTTGGGATTAGTGTTATAATAAGATGAGGAGGTGGCAGTGGTGATATCTGGAAGTGCAGTTCTCCAGCCTCACTGAGGAACCACTTCTTCTTTTGTGCTTCAGTGGCACAGGTCCGTGGAATTAGCATAGCAGTCCTAGCACTAGATATGCTTACTTCTCATATGTCTGTCTCTCCCTGCTAGATTGAAGTCTATACCTATCTTCAGTGTCTAGCGCAGTGCCTGGCACGTGCTAGGCACTGAATAAATGTTTGAATGAATGAATGAATGAAAGGTTATTGACGCTGCTGCTGTATAAAGCCATCATAGCATAGCATTTCTCATTGTCTGGAACAGTTCTTAGGTAACTGGACCTTGGTTAGCTATTTATAGGTTATCCTTGTATACCAGTAATCAACGTTGATAACAATGATCCTGATTGATGAAGAAATGGTTAAATAGTGTATCCTATTTAAAGAAGAGGGTAATATTGTTTAGAAAAATTTCCAAAGTATTTTAAAAATTGTTAACAGGGCAAACCATTAGCTGTGTAGAATATCTTATTTCCCAGAGACTGTTACAGTTCTGTTATGTCTTCATTTCATTTTCCATTTTCATGTAAGAAACTTGAAGTACTTCACATGTTGGTTATTTTTAAGGAGATACGAAACAGGTAGAATATCAATCCTCATTTTTCAAGTTAGGAAATAGACATGACTGGTATCATTTCTGTCAATAACTAGTTGAATGATGGAAATTAAGATTGCAGTTTGATTCCTATTCAGTGTTTTCTTACTGTCTCATATTAACTTTCACGTGTTTTAAACACCTTTGAAGTTTAGAGACTGTTTATAATAAAATAAAATTTAGAAATGTTTACATCTATATATATTTACAAGTATAAGCTATAAAGTTTTGTCTGAACTCTCCATATTGTAGCTGAAACCGCATATGGTGAGATTTTTTAGTAGAGCTGTCTTGTGATAACAAGGTTACTGCTATCTATTCATGATCTCTCCCTTTTGTTTATGTGGAAGTTGGGGGAATTGTGAAGGTTTAAGTTCTCTGTTAGCTGCAGGACAAAGTGTGAACCAATTGAAAAGTGGGAGTAGTCTGAATTTCAAACCTAAACTCCGTGGAATGAGGTTGGACCCATTTTATACTGAGTACTGTTTTATAGGAAATACTGTTATATTAAGGTTCCAGTGTATTACAGTGAAAGTAGCCTTGTCAATAGGCAGTCTGGTAAGCACTTTATTTATGTATGTATGTATGTATGTATGTATGTATGTATGGCTGCGCTGGGTCTTCGTTGCTGTGTGCAGGCTTTTCTCTAGTTGTGGTCAGTGGGTGCTACTCTTCGTTGTGGTGCGTGGGCATCTCATTGCAGTGGCCTCTCTTGTTGCGGAGCACCGGCTCTAGGCACGCGGGCTTCAGTAGTTGTGGCACATGGACTTCAGTAGCTGTGGCTCATGGGCTCTAGAGCGCAGGCTCAGTAGTGGTGGCGCACGGGCTTAGTTGCTCCGCGGCATGTGGGATCTTCCTGGACCAGGGCTCGAACCCGTGTCCCCTGCATTGGCAGGCAGATTCTTAACCACTGTGCCACCAGGGAAACCCTGGTAAGCACTTTATACTTAAGTCATCCTAGAATGAATATAGTTAAGGATTATATATTTTTAACTTTTCATTTTAAAGTAATTTCAAATTCACATAAAAGTTACAGAAATAGTACACAGAGCTCCAATGTACTCTTCACCCAAATTCCCTCACTGTTAACGTTTTGAACCACTTGAGAGTAAGATGTAGATGCCCCATTACCCCCCTTATTATTTTGGTTAAAATTGATCCAGTATTACCATCTAATCCACAGACTCCATTGACATTTTGCTAATTAGTCTGTTATGTCTTCTGTGTATCCAGGATCACGTGCTACATTTAGTTGTCACGTGTCTTTAGTCTTCTCCAATCTGGAACAGTTTCTCAGTCCTTATCTTTCATGAACTTGACTTTTTTTTTTTTTAATTAAGAGAACAGGACAGGCTACTTTGTAGACTTTCAGTTTGGGTTTATTTAATGTTTACTCATGATTTACACAACTTTTGCAGGAATATTACAGAAGTTATGCTGTTCTTTTCTCAGTATCATGTCAGAAAGCACATGGTGTTGATTTATCCTATTACTGTGGAGTGAACTTTTTGTTACTTGGTTCTCAAGTGTCTTTCAGGTTTCTCCCTTGTAAATTAATAAGAATGTTAGCAAATAATATTTATTTTGTGAGAAGATACTTTAATACTATGTAAATATTCTTTTTCTATCAAACTTTCACCTGTTTAACATTTTCAGACATTTAGTGATATTTGCTTGAATCAGTTTTTACTTTGATAGTTATCAAGTGGTGATTTTAAAAATTCAACCATGTCTTCTAGGTTTATCAGTTGGCATTGTACTGGTTGTCAAATTTTTCCTTCTCTTTGCATTTATTCATTCATTTATGTTGGTATGAGCTCATGGGGTCCTGTTACAATCTTTTACTGTCATTATTTTTTTGATGCTCAAATTGTCCCAGACTTGGCCAGTAGAACTTCATCAAGCCAATTTCTTTGTCCTTTTAACAAGTCACTCCATTCTTTGAACATTTGTTTACTTTCTGCTCAAGAAGATGTTTCAGGCTTATTTGGTATTTTCCTTCCACCAGCCCTGGAGACAGTCATTCCTTCAAGGAGCCTTAGTTTCTTTTCAGTGGAGAAATCAAGGTGTGTTCACTGATACTGCGGGTATGGGGGCGGATATCATTGTTTCTAGGCTTTGTCAGCAGATGCTGTAGGGAAATAGAAGTAAGTGTGAGTGTGTGTGCATACACACAGGCGCACCCTCCCACACACACCCCATATTGTTCTCTGTCTTTGTCTTATGTATATATTTATCTATGCATTCAAAACCGTGAGTTCATACCAATACTTGCTGGCACTGTTGTCTTGACTTCTACATCTGTAACTCATTTGAATTCTTACTAAAACCAAAGTGATTCTGAAACAGTTAAAATTATATATATATATTATATAAGTCAAAATAAATTAATAGAGATTGATTATTCATTTTAACTGGTCTGGGATTGGAAGCAGATAAATTTTTTATAATTGTAGAGAAACATATAAAATATAGGAAACTTGGGGGCTATTTTGAGTTGAAGCCTTGTTTTCGGTTCATTTTGGTCAGTATTTTTTTGTGTGCAGTTTGGAAAGTGAAAAGTAATTATCTTTTTTTGCTTATTTATTATAGGAAACGAGATTATGAAGGCTATTTATGCTCCCTGCTACTCCCTGCAGAATCCAGAAGCTCTGCTTTTGCACTGAGAGCTTTCAATGTGGAACTGGCTCAGGCTGGTATTAAAATACCTTAAAAATTATTTGTAAAAATAGTGATGTAATATGTTTAATGCTGAACAATAAAGAAATATAGTAGTAATTTATATGTTAGATGTGTTTAAGGTTTCTGCTGGTGATTTCTTTCTCCTGCTTAACAGTTCAATTCCAAAAATAAAACTAGCTAATGAACTTAATGTTTTTGGAAAGACCATCCTGGAATTTCTTTTTTTAAGGATATTATAAAACTATGCAGTTAATATTGCACATTTGTCTGTTAATTGAATAGGTTAATCAGAGTATTACTGCTTATTCTTTACACATTTGCATAATTTACTTGTATATAGCAGTTCTTCAAAGCACTTTTTAAATTGAGTTTTTAGCTTTAACGTGAAATGGAAATTGAAGCAATTATAGCAAACCCAGACCTTATATCATACTAACTTTTCTAAAGAATTACAGACAAAGGAGCGACTCTTCTTTTTCTTAGACTGGAAAGAATGTGTGCTGATATAAGATAAATTGAAATGGAGAATGTAAATGAGGGAGTTGAGATAGAATTGCATTGATCTTCTCAGTAAATGAAATGGAGAGGTTGGTTATTGAGAGTGAGGGAGCACGGGAGGGTTTGGAGTCTTCAAGAGTATGACAAGTTTTGACACAGCCTCTCTGGTGAATATGATAGGACGTGAAGTAGGAGCACATGAAAGGATGTGAGTATAGTACTGAGGCATAATTGTGGTTAAACACTATAAATCTGCAGAGAGTAATAGAGTCTGGCTGTTTGTCCTCGGTGTGTTTCTAGAAGTCATGGGTCTATATTTTTTTACTTCATCCTTTTTCAGGTATAAACTATACTTCAGCATCTTAAGTCAGCCACAATTTAACGATAAATAGTACCCAATGTGATCTTCCATTATAACTGTAAAATAATTAAAATTCCATTTTTAATAAATAAATCTTCCATATTTTCCCTGATTCTCTGTCACCTTATAGGAATGTCTTGCTTTTTTTTTTTTAATTTAAATAAATTCAGCTGCAGGTAGCCTTGCACCTGTGTGCCACTCCAGGCAGTGTCCACCTGGCTGCCCCTTGGTCCCACTGCCCTGCACAAGATGCCACTTCCGTCTCCTGATGGCTGTCTGTCTTACTGCTTTTTTGTACACACAGTCTTGTTCATTCATTCATTCAACAAGTATTGTCCAAAATATGCTAGGCACTACTTTAGGTACTGGGTTATAGCATTGAATAAAACATACAAAGTCCCTGTATTCAAGGAACAAGTAAATACTGTACAGAAAAATTAAGGAGGATAGGGAAGGCTAGGTATAGCAGGGGTTCCTGTTTTAAGTAGGGTGATCAGGAAAAACCTCACTGAGACGGTGGCATTTTAGCAAAGATTTGAAGGAGGCAAGGGAGTGAGATATGTGGCTGAAGAGTCTTCTAGACAGAAGGAGCAGCAAGTGCAAAGGCCCTGAGATGTAAGTGTGCCTGACATATTCAAAGACAAGAAGGCCAGTGTGGCACAACAAGGAAAGGAGGGAGAGTGTGGGAGGAGATTAGGTTAGAGGTATCTGGGACAGAAAAGTAAGGTCTTGGAGACCACTTCAGTCACTTTGGCATTTACTCTGAGTGAGATGGAAAACCATTGGAAGGTTCTGAGCAGAGAAAGACATCACATCTTTGTCATGTTTCTAAAGGATTACCCTTTAAAAAAATTTTTTTTATTAAAGTATAGTTGATTTATAATATTAGTTTCATGTGTACAACCATGGTTCAATATTTTTGATAGATTATACTCCATTTAAAATTATTACAAAGTATTGGTTGTATTCCCTGTGCTGTACAGTATATCCTTGTATCTTACTTATTTTATACATAGTAGTTTGTACTTCTTAATCCCTTATCCCTATCTTGTCTCTCCCCTCATCCCTCTTCCCACTGGTAGCCACTACTTTGTTCTCTATATCTGTGAGTCTGCTTCTCTTTTTTTGTTGTTTTATGTTTATTCATTTGTGTTATTTTTTAGATTCTACATGCAAGTGATAATGTACATTATTTTTGATTAATTTGGATTAATTCCAGGATTGGAGTTGCTGAATCACATGGTAGTTCAGTTTTTAGTTTTTTGAGGAACCTCCATACTGCTTTCACAGTGGGTACACCAATTTACATTCCCACCAACAGTGTACTAGAGCTCCCTTTTCTCTACATCCATGCCAACATTTCTTAATTTGTGGTCTTTTCCATGACAACTATTCTGACAGATGTGAGGTGGTATCTCATTGTGGTTTTGATGTGCATTTCCCTGATGCTTAGTGATGTTCAGCATTTTTGCATATACCTCTTGGCCATCTGTATATCTTCTTTGGAAAAGTGTCTATTCAGGTCATCTGCCCATTTTTTAATTGAATTGTTTGTTTTTTTGATACCGAGTTGTATGAACTGTTTATATATTTTGGATATTAACCCCTCAACAGACATACCATTTGCAAATTTTTGCAAATGTTTTCTCCCATTCAGTAGGTGGTCTTTCCACTTTGTTAATGGTTTCTTTTGCTGTGCAAAAGCTTTTAAGTTTAATTAGGCCCCATTTGTTTATTTTTGCCTTTGTTTTCTTTGCCTGAAGAGAAAGATCCAAAAAAATATTGCTATGACATAGGTCAGAGGGTGATCTGCCTATTTTCTAGGAGTTTTATGGTTTCCAGTCTTACATTTAGGTCTTTAATCCATTTTGAGTTTATTTTCATATATAGTATGAGAAAATGTTCTAATTTCATTCTTTTGCATGTAGCTGTCCAGTTTTCTCAGCACCACTTATTGAAGAGACTGTCTTTCCCCATTGTATATTTTTGCCTCTTTTGTCAAAGATTAATTGACCATAAATACATGGGTTTATTTCTGGGCTCTCTATTCTGTTCCGTTGATCTATGTGTCTGTTTTAATGCCAGTACCATACTGTTTTGATCACTGTACCTTTGTAGTATAGTCTGAAATCAAGGAGTGTGGTATCTCCAGCTTTATGCTTTTTTATCAAGATTGCTTCAGCTGTTCAGGGTCTTTGTGGTTCCATATAAATTTTAGGATTTTATGTTCTAGTTCTGTGAAAAATGTCATGGGTATTTTTATAGGGATTACATTGAATCTGTACTTTGCTTTGGGTAGTGTTGACATTTTAACAATATTAATTCTTCCAATCCATGGACATGGGATATCTTTCCATTTCTTTGTATTATCTTCAGTTTTCTTCATCAGTAATTTTTAGTTTTCAGAGTATAGGTCTCTCACCTCCTTGGTTAAATTTATTCCTATGATTTTATTCTTTCTGATGTGATTTTAAATGGGATTTTTTTTTTTGCTTTTTCTTTCCTATAGTTCATTATTGGTGTATTAGAAAGACAAAAAAATTTCTGTAGATTAATTTTAGATCCTGTAACTTTACTGACTTCATTTCTTAGTTCTAATAGCTTTTTGGTGGAGACTTTAGGGTTTCTTTCTTTAGTATCATGTCATCTGCAAATAGTGACAGTTTTACTTCTTACCTTCCAATTTGGATGCCTTTTATTTCTTTTTCTTGTCTAATTGCTGTGACTAGGACTTTCAATAACATATTAAATAGAAGTGGTGAGAGTGGGTATCCTTGTCTTGTTCCTGATTTTAGAGAAGAAACTTCTCACCATTGAGTATGATGTTAGCTATGGGGTTGTCATAATTGGCCTTTATTATGTTGAGATGTTTCCTCTATACCAACTTTGATGAGTGTTTTTATCATGAATGCATGAATGTTGAATTTTGTCAGATGTTTTTTTCTGAGTCTATTGAGATAATCATGTGATTTTTATCCTTTGTTTTATTAATATTGTGTATCACATTAATTGATTTGTGGATATTGAACCATCCTTTCATCATTTTAGTAAATCCCACTTGGCCATGGTGTATGATCCTTTTTACATATTGTTGAATTTGGTTTGCTAATATTTTGTTGAAGATTTTTACATCTACATTCATTAGATATATTGGCCTATAATTTTCTTTTTCTGTAGTGTCTTTGTCTAGTTTTGGTATCAGGGTACTGGCGGCCTCATAATTGGGAATCTTCCCTCCTCTTCAGTACTTTGGAGTAGCTTGAGAAGGATAGGTATTAGTTCCTCTTTGTGTATTTGGCTTAATTCCCCTGTGAAGCTCTCCAGTCCTGGACTTTGGTTTGCTGGGAGTTTTTTGGTTACTGATTCAATTTCATTACTAGTGATCTGTCTGTTCAGATTATCTATTTCTTTTGGTCTTGTTTCAGAAGATTGTAGTTTCTAGGAATTTATCCATTTCTTCTAGATTGTCCAATTTATTGGCATATAACTGTTCATAGTTTTCCCTTCTGATTTTTTTTGTGTCTGTGATATCAGTTGTAATTTCTTCCCTTTTATTTCTTACTTTGTTTATTTGGGTTCTCTCTCTTTTTCTTAATGAGCTTGACTAAGGGCTTTTCAATTTTGTTTATCTTTTCAAAAAGCCAGCTCTTGGTTTCATTGAACTTTTTTCTTTTTTTTTCCTGGTCTCTATTTTATTTGTTTCTGCTCTGATCTTTATTATTTCTTTCCTTCTGCTGACTTTGGGCTTTGTTTGTTCTTCTTTTTCTAATTCCTTTAGGTGGTAGGTTAGGTTGTTTATTTGAGATTTTTCTTGTTTCTTGAGATGGGCCTGTATCACTATAAACTTTCCTCTTAGAACTTCTTTGCTGTGTGTCCTATAGATTTTGGAAAGTTGTGCTTTTATTTTCATTTGTCCTGAGGTATTTTCTGATTTCCTCTTTGATTTCTTCATTGACCCATTGGTTTTTTAGTCTCCATGTGTTAGTGTTTTTCCCATTTTTCTTCCTGTGATAGATCTCTAGTTTCATACTATTGTGGTCAGAAAAGATGCTTGATATAATTTCTATCCTCTTAATTTTTTCAGACTTGTTTTGTGGCCGAGCATGTGATCTGTCCTAGAGAATGTTCCATGTGCACTTGAAAAGAATTTG